GATAAGTTTTTGGAGCGTGAGCGACAATCATTTTTATCCTATAACTTTAAAACCTTTTCCTTTCCTGTCTTCTAATCTCCTGTTTCGCAGATCTCTTATTAGTTGTAATTCTTTCAACTCGTCAGATTGTTTCACTGCGTCGCTTATACTCTTTCCCGCTTCCGCGATTGAGCCGACGGCTTTCGCTCCGGATGAAATAAGTGATTTGTTGTTTGAAACAAAGCTAGCTACTTTTGGAATTATTGTTTTACCTAGAGAAAATATTGATGAAAAGATACCGTCGCCCGAATAATCTTCGAATTTGTGTTATTCGTGTTTTAGAATTAAATTCATCCTATTTTTAAATGAGTTAATTTAACGAAGAAAGTGTGGTCTGTTTTTTTCCAAAAACAAGAGTTATCTTCCTTCTACATTATTAAAACCGGATGTTTATTTTATATAAGGGTATTTTTAATATGCTTTTTTGGATGGAATGAAGGAATTTATGAAATGTAGGGTGTTTAGGTGTAGGAATTTATGAAATGTAGGGTGTTTAGGTCTTTTTTAGTGTAAGAATTTATGAAATGTAGGGTGTTTTGGTATATGAGATGGTATGTGTGCTTAATTTGTTAAGTCGGTATATGGTAAAGGGGGGTATAGTGTACATACTGGTAATAAAAATTTTTGGTAAATCGGCATATGGTAAGTCGGGGTATGGTAATGTACACATACTACTTCCGCTATATTTATAACACATTGTGGCAGCCCTTTTCTGCACGCTGGAACTAAATTCTCGTATCCAAACATAAAAAATGGTACCTCACAGAAATGTAGAAATAGTAGTAAAAGGGAAGAAACGCCTCAAGTGATAATAGTGAAATCAAACTTCAATGAACTGATATAATATATATATACCCCCTTTTAAAATACATATAAAAAATGCTAATTGTGATTTCGATTTCTTTTGCATAAAATATATCAAAACTGGAGTGACAGTATAGAAACCAATTTTTTGAGAGTAGTAGTAGTAGTATATGTCTTTTCGGATATGACGCATTTCACTTCTGCGCATGCGCAGCTTTTTCAATGCATCATATCCGGAAAGACATAACCGTTAAAATGTATTATAACAGACTCCTCCAAACTGTATTATAACAGACTCCATATAAATTACACAGACAAGAATCACTAATAATAATACAGTAAAAAATAACCGCATTAAAAATGTCTTTGATTTTAAAACACGAAAAAAAAAATTTCGAAGGAGACGGTTTCTTCTCTGCGCTAACATCTCTCATCCCCAAAGTGGCCAATTTTGTCTCAAACAACAAATCCCTCATTTCCTCAGAAGCGCAAGCTCTTGGATCTGTGGCAAAAGCAGGAGTAAATATAAGCGATGCAGTGAAAAAATCTGACGAACTTAAAGAACTACAGCTAATAAGAGAGCTAAGAAACAAGAGACTAGAAAGCCCTAGAAAAACAAGGAAAAGGGTTTAAAATCATTGGATAAAAATGGCAAGCAAAAATTACAGATTGGATCCAATCTTTCAATTGTATGATCCGATTCAATATTCGTTCAACAAGAAGAAAGAGGATTACGTAATCATCTCACCATCGGTAGGGACAAAGACCCAAATAAACGACGGAGGAAGAGTTACCTTTGAAATTAATTCGTTGTCCAATTGGTTGCTGCTTTCCGATGCCCATTTCCGATGCGATTTCAAAATCAACGCCACTCAGAATCGAATTCCACAAACTAACACGACTTTAGAAAACAACTTCTTTCCGTCTTTATTCAGCGAAATGGTTTTGGAAGCTGGTTCAAATCCTATAGAGACCATAAAACACCCCGGCGAGTTTGACACAATGTTGAAAACGGTTCTGTATCCCAACAACTACGATTCAGTTTCGGGATGGATTCCCGATGTCGGTGACGGAGAAGTTTTAAAAGAACCGGTCAGAACTGTAGCAAATGACGCAGACCTTGCTAGGATAAGGGTAGTTGCTAGAAACACACTGGAAAGAGTGACTCCCAGAGTAAATCACGGATTTGAAAAACGAGCGCTTCAATACAACAATGTCGTCGAGAACAACAGATGGGGTAATTACGTAAATTGGAAGTGCTATCCTTTATTTGGTCTCTTGGAACACAGAAAGGTTTCCATAGGTTTACCGTATAAAATTCATGTGCAAAGAGAAATCGACGACAACAAGATATTCTTTGGTGAAAACAACTCTGACGCAAAATTGGAAATAACGAATATCCAACTTTACATACCGGTAATCACTCCTTCCGTAGAAGTGGAAACGAGAATATTCAACTCTTTAACCAAAGACATCGAAATTGCTTTTCTTCGTCGTAACACGGTAGGTAGCATGACTTTAACGGGAGAATCCACCACGTGGCCAATTACCAACACCGTCAAACCAGCGAGATATCTAATGATCGGTTTCAAAAACTTGCCAGACTCTCAGACAAACAACAACAACATTTTCAGAGTGGCATTGAACCATACTCAAGATCCCATCATTCGCAAAGTTCAAGTCAGATTAAACAACGATAATTATCCCAATCAACCTTTGACAATTGATCCTTCCAAAAAAGATTACAACGAATTGTATAGAAACTATAAAAACATGTGCGAATTGTTTGGAAATACGCCTCAGTTTGAATACACAGATTTTTAACTCAATCATCCAATCTTTTGTTTCGATCTGTCAGCTCATCAAGAAGATCTTTTCAAAACAGGGGTAAACATAAATATTCACATCGATAAAACACAAGGAGATGTGACCGGCTACTGTTTATTGCTGGAAGAAGCAAAACATTTGAT